CTTGCAAATAAATTGCTATGTGCAAATATGTGCCATCAAGTCTCACTTGGGAAAAAGACCCTGCTCTAGGCATGAATACAAGCTTTTGATTAAAGAACAAAATAATAAAATAGAAAGAAATTTTCTTCAGCCCTCTCTCTACTGCCTTTTGTAAGCAGTCATTAGGCAGTTTCAGGGGAATGCAGAGTCCCTGCAAAGCTGCATTACTCCTTCAAGCCAGAATGCAAAAGAAAAAATATAAACTGTATGTATAAAACCAACAAATTTTAAGTAAAAAATAAACAAGTTGACAAAATGGACAAAATAGAGAGACTTCATACTACTGAGCTGCTCAATTTCCATTTTATGCCCATTTTTCACATATGCTCACACATACATATGGGATTATCTGAAGGTCTGAGACTGCTTTATAAAAGCTCACCAGCTTTCTTGGAGGTATTTTTCACTCCTTAGTTTTGTTTTTGCAGTGGAATAAAAGGACTTACTTCATACTGTGAAGCTATTCTGCCAAATTCTGCCACAAAGCCTTGTTTCTGAGCCTTGCATTTTAGTCCTTAGTGGCTACCACACCACAAGCAACTTTACTGCCATAGTCCTGGGCCCAGAGTGGACAACCTCAGTAGCTCTTCCTTCATTTTCTGTCCCCTCCACTGTCTTCCTTCCTCCTCTCATACCTTTAAGTCATTGCACAATCTCACTCACCTGCTTGTTCTCATCTCTAATCTCCTACTTCTCTAAGTTTTATTCAATTTACAGTGTGCTCAAACTGATGCCCAGTTTTCAGCTCTTCTTTCACCTACAACTCTCTTCCCTCCCTTCAACAAAAACCAAATTATCTTGCTTGCATCTAAACTGAACACTGCTCAGTTTGGACCACACTATTCTCCCTCCCTCTTTTACTGTATTCCTCTGCTATCTCCACCTGCTTATGACTTTTAACATGAGCTACTCACCTTTGTTTTCAAAAGTCCTGATGCCTCATCCCCTCCCTTTCTATCACTTCAGAAAACTCTATTTTTGCTCTAGTGGTTGCAAGCTCTGACCCCCACAAGCTTGCAGAAGGCATTTGAGCCTTCTCCCATGCTGACTGCCACTGCCTCCTTTTCTCTTTTTATCTCCTTAATCACCTTCACCTGCTGCTCCTTCTCTTAAACCATTAATTCTCAGGTGTAACAAGGAGCCCTGTGCTGTTCACACAGGATCTGCCAAAACAGACTTCTCACCTGTGAGAAGTATATTAGTATTTCTTAGTGTTTCTTAGCATTTCATTTCTACCAAATTTATTCAGCACTCCAGACAGGAGGTCTAGGATGGAAGCAAAGCAGAAACTTACCTTCTCTTGATGGTAAGCATTGCTCCTAAGAGGATAATAACAAACATCAGAAGACCAGCTATAACTCCAGCCATTTTCACTGTGCTGTCCACTTGCTTTTCTGGCTCCACTGCATTGGAATTCTGTGTGGAAGCTCCTTGAAAGATGAAGGGAGAGGAAGGAGGAGATAAAAAGAGAACTTGTAGAAAAAAACCTGAAATTATTCAGTTTCAACATTCATTTGAAAACCTGATAGTATAAGTTGCAATCTAATAGCAATAGACCAACTGTCTGCTTAACTTAATCCTTTGCCTTTAATAATGGCTAGTGCCAGATATTTCAAAACAAAGAGAAAAACCCCAGTGTAATGCAATTGACAATAATATTTTATAACATTATACTGCACTGGGGTATTTATTCTTTTGATGCATTCAGCATTTCCAGAAGCAGGGGGATTAATAACAGTTACAATTATCATCTCAAGTATTTTAAGTGGAGGTACAATCCTTACTCACTGAAACAGCGAATGAAAAAGTTTGCAGTGATATATCTCATAGTTCTGCAAAAATAGTTTTTTTCCTTTTAAAATCAGGATGCATTGGTACTTCTCACTACACTACAGTCTTGGCTTTTGTAAATAGGCAATTCCAATTATGCATGTTACAAGTGTTAATCCAACCCCCAGAGCATCCTCTGAACCATCTAATACATTCTATGCATGAGTTCTTCTCCAGTCTAGGCCAGAGATTATTTCTACCACTTTATATACTTACATATATGTATATATATAAAAAGTACAGCCTACACACCTAAAAATAAAACAGTTTGAGAAACTTATTTGCAAAGCATTTCCTCTTTTACTTACTTGTCATGATCTGACCTCAAGGTTCTGTTACCCCTCCAGTAACGGCTGAATGTGGCCCTCCTCTCTGCTGCAGGGACCACTCACAGTGCTTATATATATATATATATATATACACACATATATGTACAGTGCTTATATACAAATACATACACACACCTTGCGTCTGCTGACTTTGTTACTGTTGTACAGATTTCTTTCCAGATATAGCTTAAGACACTGAATTTGATTTAGAAAGGCCCACAATATTTGAGTCATGGTTATTCTAAAGACTAAATGACCCTATTTTTTATTATATTCCCAATAAACTTAACTCTTGCAAAAAACACCGCTATTGAATTTGATGGAGTTACAGGGATTCATGTCACGTGGGATCACAGTCTTATGTCGGGCTTTAGCCTAACTGCTAAATTTAGGCAAATCTTCCTCTGCAGTTTGGACATGGCAGGAAAAGAGAATCAACGTGGAAAACACAGAGCTGTCATCAGAAAACTGTCATGCTCTGCTCTTCTACCCCTCTGTGTAGCTGACTTTCAGGAAGAACTGAATCAATTCTGCTCATGAAGCATTCGGGGACATGATGTTCAATTTAGCCAAGATTTTGGTGAGAAATCAGAAAGCCTCACTGGGTTGTTCTTGTGACCATTTTCCACTTGTTAATCTGCATGTGATCCAGAAAATCTCTGTCTGCAGAGATGACTCCCAATGATTACCCTGATCCAATAAGGAAAGCGAATATAGGGCTTCCTAAGATGTCCTCAACACCAACACCAGCCTGAGCTGATGGACTGCAGCGGGATGTAGTTTGATCCTGAACAAAGTAGAATATCCTCCTCTCAGTTATATCTTGGGGAATAAATATAAAACGATAAAACATAAGACAACTAACCACTTTCCATGATCAAGATACAGTTTCCCTAAAGCTGAGCTGATGATCTAGTTTACCACAGCAAACCCAGTAGTTAACCGAGCAAACACTGTCTTTGCAGGGCACATGTAATTTCCAGCTTTCCGTCCCTGGCCACTCTACCAATCTGCTACATGTTGTGTACAACAGCTTTTTTGTGCAATTAGAGCTCACTGATAAACTTTTGTGTGGACGTCGGAAAAGCATTGATGGGACTCCATACCAACTGCATATTATCATCTATGTTTGGCAACATCTCTCACAATCTTGGAGCAAATCTGTCCAGGAGGTGAGCTATATCTCATTCAGACAACTAGCCCTGATATTGCCATACAACAAAATAAAGTCACTAATTTTATCATGCAAATAAATAAAACTATTCTTGTTTGACCTGAAAATCAGAGGTACTCCAAATTATCCTCCACTTGAATCCCAGTTTCTCCAATGACCACAAACATTAGCTATTGGAGAATGGTTTTCCACCCATTTTTGTACCATCTGAATGTCTTTATCTACTGTGAACCATGTTAAACAAAGCCTGAATATGCTGTCAGTGCCATCCCCCAATTCACTTGATTAGTTTAATTCTGTGACGCTGCTGCTTATCACTCCAGGCAATGAGTGGTCAATGTGTGTGTGTTTTTTTTTCCTTTCCCATTGCACTACTGCATTTCTAGAAAGAGAATAAAGTCTGATTATCCATCCTGACACCTACGCACTGTGGTGACTGATTCACTGAAGCTCCTATATAACTCTCCCTCTATCTTGGCAAAGGCCAACAATTCCTTCAGGCTACTAGTCCAACCATTTGTAAGATGTCTCTGCTAATAGTGCCTAGGAACTGATAATATCACAGAGCCAGTAAATTCCCGAGCCTCGGCATTCTTAAAGTTCTGCAATCAAACAGTCCTCTGAAAGAGCCCATCGCTTTCCTGCTGTTCTGTGGGATTATTTTCCTTGTAGAGGCCTAAATCTCCCATGGTTGCACCAGCTGCTGGTACCCGAGAACATTTCTATTCTAGCAGTGGGACGCCTATGCTGCAGCTGCAGAAGATGACTTCTGCTGCTCTCCATTCTTCTTTTTGCTGCCATTTTTACGTATCTCCCTGCCTTCAACAACTTGTTTGGAATGAAGTTTTGCTTCTTTCATTACATGCATACATAAAAGATTTGAAATTTAACGGGCAAAAAGTCCATAACAATTGCTAGGATGGCTCTTACACACAAATCTCCTTAAATAGCTTTGGAAGCTCTGCACTCTTGGGCTTGAGGGGCCAACCTTTTCTTTCTGAAAAGCAATGTTTCTGTATCGCAGAGATCAAAACGGAAAGAAAATAAACTATCATCGCCCTAGTTTCTGGTGGTCATTTCCACCACATTTCTGGCTATAAATTGTTTCTTGTACCTGAAGCTGGATCCTGGAATAATAGTATATGGGACAGGTCACCACTGCTATTACTGTGTGCATTTCAGAGGCACCCAGAGGCACCCGTTAAGGTCAGGACCCCATTACGTTGTACCTGCAAGAAGTGGGACATTCCTCTGCCCCGGGCTTCCTTTCTTAATAAGGTAGGCAAGTGACAGAAAAGTCACGGCCAGAGGAGTGAGGAACCCAGGTCCCTCGTCTCCCTGTCTGTGTGTTATCCACTACATCAAGCTTCTTCTTTCGAAGATATATATATATATATATTTATGTACTGGGACTGCACAGTCCCAGAAGTTTGACCAGAACTGACTTTCACAGACACTGTCATTCACTGAGCCCTATCTTACATCCGCAGGTATTTGAAGATTTTAATCCTCACCCACAGACCCCATTCTTGTTTTTTTTTCAAAACCTTTCAAGATCCCCAAACACCGACATCTGACATTTTCTTGCTATACAGAGCACAGTGCAAGGGGCGTGTTGACAGCATATACAATTCTCAGCACATCACAGAAATGCAAAAAGCACAAAGCAGGGGGAAACGGGTTTTTCTGCAAAGCTGTTAACCTCATCAGCCTGAAAAAGTCAGATTTACAGATCATGAAACAGTGTTTGTTTTAGTAATGCTCTCACAGGTACCCCATGTCTAATGCAGCTGTCCTGTTCCTGAGCCTGTAATTCAGAGTACCAAACTATTTCAGTAACGTGCAACTAGTGGAAAAATGTTTCTTGGTTGTGTCAGAAAGCTTGTTTTCTATAGCTCTTCGGGCCTTTCAAGCCTTTAAATTCCCCCTTGCTTTATATAATGGTCAAAGCCGGCAGAGCAGTGGCCCAAAGTTAGTAACCCACTTCTGAGCAACAGGAATTTTGAAATCCGAAATCAATTTCACTACAAAGGGCTGCCATCTGCATTCCAAGTTAAACCTTCCAGGTTGCTTCCATCTGAACATGGTCTGTCCACAAGGAGGAAGAGCTGGCCCATTAAAGAGCTTTGAGCAGCCAAACCACAGTTTTTTACTGGCTGTTGCTACAGAGTATGCCTCTCTCAAAATGTTAAAAACCTCGGAGACCATCCACCTACCAGCAAGAGTTCATATGCAGTGCTACAAGTATCCACAATGATTCATATGTTCTTTAAATTATCTTAATGCTCGTACAAGGTAAGTAAGAAATTACACTGCTTTACGGGACTGGACAGAACTGAGGAGCTGGCACTGCAGCCGCTCGGCAGCAGAGCTGAGGACTGACATTCCCCAGCTGGCACCCTGGGGCAATTGCATCAGGTGACAGAGAATGGTTAAATTAATTATTAATTTCAAGTAAGAGACTTCCAAGTAGGAAGGTATAAGAAAAAGGATGGTTAGTCCTGCAGTGGAAGTGGTACCATAGTTGTCAGCAGTGCTACTGCATCTGAGAGAACGGCTGGACCCCGCACTGAGAGCAGAGGAGAAAACAAAATGGTTGTAGGGATAGCTGGGCTAGACACACAGGGGCAAAACCACCAAGAGAAGGCAAATCATAGGGGCAAAGTCAGAAAGGCAGATGTGATGGGAGTTTCAACCACGGCTGGGTGACAGGAAGACCCAGAAATGGGAGAAATCTGGTGAAAATAGGTCTTACATTTACACCACCTAAGAAGGCCATCTGCTTAGGTAGAACATCACTCTTGAAACAAAAACTACTCAGAAAAGATGACTTGACAACAGTGTTCAACCCTGAAGAATTAATGAAAAATAACAGGTTAAAAATTCATTATGAGTTAAAATGAGCTACTTAGTTAATCCAAATAATTTATTTGCAGCACACAGCAGCTAGGCAGCATGCAGAAGGTAAAATATCCTAATGGACCTAGAGACTTACTTTCAAAAGAGAGTTATTCTCAGATCACTTGTAAACACGGTTTCCTTTTCTTTCTTCCTTTTTTTTGTTCCTTTTTATGCTGTTTTCTATGCTAGTGACCTA